AGTTTTGAGGGAAAACCCATAATTTTCCCCAAAATTTCCATCCTAATAATCCCTGGATCGATTCCGGATTGGAAAATGAAGAGAGGGGCACAGAAAAATCGGAATTCTTTCCCCTCCTGATTTAAAAAAAACGGGAAAAAAAATCAGGGAAAAAATCTGTTTTCCATGGAAAAATCCCCAAGGATCTCACGCAGTCCGTGAGCGCCATCGTGTGATAAATCCAAGGAAAACGCCAAGAAAAACCTGGAAAAATCAGGATTTCAATCAGTTCCTGTCTGCTTCCAACATTTTTCCAAATTAAACAGGGAAGGAGAGCAAAATCCAGCTGGAAAACAGAGGGAAAACGGCTGGAAAAAGGCGGGAATCCAATTATTTTCTGGAATTCCATCGGGAATTGAGAAGTTTTTTGGGATAACGGGAAATTTTTCCTTGGAGTTGTGTTGGAAAATTCCAGGAAAATTCCTCAGCAGCAGGAGATTCCCTGCCTTAAATTGCTGGATTTATTAATTACTTATAAATTAATCAACTTATATAATAATTAAAATAATAAAATAATATTAATTTAATAATAATTCACTATTAACAATATTAATTCCATTAATAATTATTAAATTACATTAAACTATAAATTAAAATTAATTTACACTTAAAAATTATAAAAAATATAGTTATTGTAAGTATAAACATTAGTATAATGACATATTGTAATTATTATCCTTAATTAGATGTTAATATTAATAATCATTATTAATAGTTGTTAATAGCATACCAATAACAATCTACTATAATTATTTACATATTGATATGGATTTACATAAATAGTTTTTATATTAAGGAATATTTAATTTTAATTTTAAATATTTAATAATTTACATATAATTATATAATTATACTTAGCAAAAAAATGATACTGAATTATATTTCAATTATCTTTTAATTAATATTAATTAACTATTTTTTATTTTATTTTTTATTTTATTATATAAAATAATATTTTATTTATTTTATTATCATTTTATTTTTAATTGTTTTAATATAATTTTATATTAAATATAATTCTATATAAAATTATATTAATTAATTATATTAATTATATTATATTATACTATATTGATTATTATTAATTAAATTAAAAATTAATTAATTGATTATTAAATATGGGATATGGAATATTGAATAAACGATATTAAATTTTGGATATAGAAAATGAGAAATGGGATGTTGGATATGGGATATTGATTAACGGATTATTGATTATACACAGATATTAGTCATTGCATATGGGATATTAATTATTGGATATGCGATATTAAATATTGGATATTAGATACTGGATATTGATTAATGGATATGGGATATTGATCATTAAATATGGGATATGGAATATTGAATACAAGATGTTAAATATTGGATATAGGAAATGAGAAATGGGATATGGGATATTGATTACTAACTATTGGATATGGGATACTGGATGTGGGATATGGGATATTAACTACTAGGTATGGGTAGGGTAGGTATACTAGGTATAACTGATGGATATGGGATATTGATTAACTATCGGATATTTGTCATTGGATATGGGATATGGGATACTGGACATGGGATATTAATTACTGGATATGGGATATTAAATGCTGGATATGGAATATTAAATATTGGATATGGGATATTAAATATTGGATGTTAGGTACTGGATATAATCAATAATACGTTAATCAATATCCCATAT